ACTTGCAAGGGCAAGGAATAGGGCATCTGCCTTTCGCCCAATCGCCGTCCACTCTTCCCTCCGCTGGAGCAATTTTTTTCTGGGCTGCGGGGCAATTCAACCCAATTGCAAGGGCAATTGGAAATATCGTCTCTCGTGGGTCATGACTTTCAAAAGGAAAAGGGCTTTTGGATCTACGTCCAAAAATATAGGTAGTTTTTGAAACTGAGTTCAGTTATCTAATTACATATTTTGATATCAATTTTGCCCCTTCAGATAAAAATATTTAATTTGTTTAAATTTTTTTTATCATTTATTCAGTTTTTAGAAATTGAATATTTAAATACTCAAACCAAAAATATTATCTAGTAACTACCTATTATTTATGAAGAAAACAAAACCAATATAATCTAGTAACTACCTATTGCATAGGAAGAAAGATGCTTTATACCTACAAAGAAGATATAATCTACCTGCAAAATAAAAATAAACTACCTATTGTATCGGAAGAAAAATTCTAGGAACCTACATGGCGGAACATAGAAATATAAATTGATATAATATACCTCCATTAAAGGAACAAATTTGGAGGGAAGAACACAAAAATATCACCCATGAAAAGAAGAGACAAAAAAGAGGAGGATTGATTCCATGATCTAACGGAGGGAATTGTGTGGAAGAAGGAAAGAAGGAGGGATGAAACAGACTGGGGGTTGAGGTGATTATATGGCTATAACTAATCCTACAGTTAAGGGATTAGTTAAACCACAAATAATCCCATAATTAAGAAATTTTGTGTATTTACTACAATTCGTAAGCTTAAGGGGTAAATATGGTATAAACCGCAGATAAACATACGTGAAATCTCAATTATTGGACCTATTTCAATGAAGTGGACTAATCCTACTAATGGCCCACAAAATTGGATGTATATCAAGTTATCCAAAAAAGAAAAGGAAAAACGATCGATATTGATTGATTTAACCTAAAGAGGAAAAAGCCAAAATCTCTCTTCTCCATTGGACCCATAAGAGCCGTGTGAACCAAGGCAGTATGAACATGAGCTAACGGTTAGTTAACTAAAAGGTTAATTAGGTTAGTTAAAGGAAGAACTTAACCACTTATTAATAGGTTTGAGTTTTATTACAAAAGATTTTGGTGATATTATGGATAGAAAGTTTCATATATTAATTGTATATTATTTTGTTATATAACCTATTTGGAATGCTTAAGTTAATAAGGAAAGAATTATTAGTTGTATGATATAGACTTGAACCTACCCGTTATTTAAAAGAAAACTCGCAACCCTACTCTTTTTCAAACACGCTTTCAAATCTCTTTCACATGATGAAATGAAGAAAACCACAAAACATTCTATCAGTAATAGAAATGGGAAGGGGATCCTCTCCGGATCCCTTCCATCAAATACATCTAATCAATCAATTCAAACCCTTGAAATTCGATCAAATGGCTACAAACAGGGGGTATTTTTAAAAGTTATAATAACTTTAATCGTTGGATCAAATTTCAAGGGTTCGGATTAGATAATTGGATGGATTTGGTGAAATGAATCCGTAGAGGATCCCTTTCAAAAGAAATGAAGAAAGAATTGAATTATGCACGAGAAAGTGGTGAAATAAAATCGAAGACCAATTATTAATTTTCAGAATAGACGGATGAGAGAAGTTCCCAAACAACCTACGAAAATGAGCCAGATTCAAAGGCTTTACCGTGTGGTGTGTTTATCACGTTGCACTATTAGTCCTTACGAGTTGTACGTGGGTTTGTTTTCCTTTATTAATTTCCAGTCCGAGCATTGAGAACCTCACTCACTCAATTTCCTCTTCCATTGCTTCTCACTCACTCACTCAATTTCTTCTTCCATTGTCTCAAATTCTACTATTCATTTCTGACTTCTTAATTTGTAGCTAAATTTTTAGCAAGCAAAAATGTGTGCCTTTTGATTCCATAGACTCCTCCGATACCATCGAGGCTTCTGAAAAAGAAAAAAAAAGAAAGGAAAACCATGGAGGAAATTATATCCTCTTGTACTTCTCAAAAGTTTTGTCAAGAAAACTCACCCACACTTCAACGCCTCCAATTCATAGTTCAGAACCGCCCTGAATGGTGGGTCTATTCAATTTTCTGGCAACCCTCAAAACACAACAGTGACCTAGTTTCTTTGTCGTGGGCCGGCGGCCATTTTCGAAGCACTAGGGACTTGACCTCCAAAAGAAGTTACCACAAAAACCAACCCGGATTCGGGTTCAATGTTGTGGAGAGGAAGAGGGCGATTAGCAGAGAAGTTGAAGCTCTTTTCCATGAAGACGTGGATTTGGACGGTGGAGATGTTACTGACGCTCAATGGTTTTACTTTTACACAGCCTCTTTAACCCAGTCATTTACTGCCGGCCACGGTAATAGTAACATTCTGGGCCGTACGTTTTGTTCTGGTGGTTTTGTTTGGCTGGCAGGTGATCATGAGCTTCAAATCTATCAGTGTGAGAGAGTGAAAGAAGCAAGAATGCACGGAATTCAAACTTTGGTTTGTATTGCAACTTCATGTGGAGTACTTGAACTCGCATCTTTGGATGTGATCAAAGAAGATTGGGGTCTTCTGCAGCTATCAAAATCACTTTTCCAATCAGACAACAAGAACGTGGTCCCAAAGCAGCTAAGCAGCAGCCGTGAGGACCAGGTACATGTTTCTCTCTTAGAAAGTGGAATCTTTTCAGGAGCTGATAAAGATTGGGCAACACAAGGTAAGCAAACCGGTTCAAAATTTTTGATACAGTAAGCTATACTGGTAGCAAATACCAACCGCATCGAACTAGTGTTGTCTAGACAATGATGTATGTAGACTGATGTCCAATACCAAACAATCTTTTCCATTTAGATGATATTTAAGAGTTTTTTTTTTTTTTAAATTTAAAGTACTCAGGTAACATGATCTCCAGATACGATATTTTATTGATATTGTGTATTTTAACACACAATATTTCATTGACATAAAAGTTAAATATTTTGACTTGAAGGTGGTACAAAAGAAGCAGCTCCTGCAAATGTAAGTGGATCATCATCAGACTCAGGACCTTCTGACTCTGTTGGAAATTTAACCTCCGAGAATGCTGAGAACATTCGATTAAAAAAGAGAGGAAGATCATCAAACCGTGAAACAGGTAGAACAGAATCACCAATAAACCATGTTGAGGCTGAAAGACAAAGGCGAGAGAAGCTTAATCATCGATTCTATGCCCTCCGCTCTGTCGTTCCCAATGTGTCCAGAATGGACAAAGCTTCTTTACTTTCTGATGCAGTTGTATACATCAATGATCTGAAAGCAAGGGTTGGGCAATTGGAGGCCAAAATTCAAGCACAACCTCAAAAGCCTGGCGTTGATATTGGAGGCCAAACAAGCTCCATAGTTGATCATCATCAAACAAGGCCTAGGCTATCATCAAGTTATAATAATAAAGCAGCTGGGGCTGTGGAAATAGATGTGAAGATCGTAGGCTCAGAAGCCATGATACGAGTTCAGTGTCCGGATTGCGATTACCCTAATGCTAGATTGATGAATGCACTCAAAGACCTGGAGTTAAAAGTTTATCATGCAAGCATATCAAGTGTGAAAGAGTTGATGCTTCAAGATGTTGTGGCAAGAGTGCCTCAGGGTTTCACAAGTGATGAGGCCATGAAAATTGCTATTTTAAAAAGATGGTACAACTAGAGTTATAGGTCAATAATTAGTTTACCTTGCTAATAAGGTGTGATTTTGGTTATTAATGATGATCTCATTATTCTTCGCAGTTATAATTGTTGCACGTAACTAAACCTGAAGATGTATTAGCCAAATTTTTGGAGGGAATGTATATGTGTAATATATTTAAATGTGGAATTGATTTAAAATGTTTCAAAAGAAAATACAATGATATAAGTACACCCAGGGATAGAGGAGTGAGGCTAAGCCATACAATGAGCTAGGCATCATAATTTGGTATCAAACTGAGTATCTACATAAGTCGAACTAGAGAGAGAGATATTTCACAAAATTAGACAAGGTCGTTCTAATTACTTTTATAGTCTATATCCTCTGAATGGGGCTCGGACTCGATCATGATTTTCTCAAACATAAAGGATTTGCGAACGAAAATAAAAATAATCGGACAGGGTTACTCAAACATCACGATGGTCGTGATAAAAAATGGGGTATATATGGCCGTGCTGGTGCCAAACTTGAGCTGTTACATGATGTAATTCACACATGAACAAACGGAAAACACCCAATTATTACCTTTGGAAGCAAGCGAGTGACCCCTATAGTCAAACACCGCAGTTAACTTCTTCGTAGGGACTTTGGTTGTTGTCCGTTGTAGACTCCAGTGAGTACAACACTTCAGGTTCACCTTAGTCGGAGATGTCGCAAATCGCCTGGTTAATTAGGTAGTTAGTAAATGCCACGAACGGAGCTAAGGTTTGGTGAAACGCGTAGAGCGTGAGAGATTTGATTGATTGGTTTGAGACCCTTTTCTCGTTGCCAAATGCCTTGTATTTATAGTGATTGCAAGTCTCACCTCCAGATAATCACACTCCGTTCAGGAGTCAAACTCCTTTTCAAACGAAACTTCAGCTCGGCCAAGTCCAAGTACATTTCCGATAAGGCTTTCGACGTTCTTATATCCACTACAAAAAATATGGGCTCTGCACACAAGAAATTATCTGTGCCCTTTGAGGCCAAAGAGCACCAATACATGTGCCCATAGACCAATAGCAACAGTGCAGCAACTAAGTTTTTATCTGTGTCCTCTATGGGCGTCACCTTTGATCAAAGAATACAATAAGATATGCTGTGCTGAAAAGTGTAAGCACAAATAAAGGTCGTTTTGTGCCCAGTTCCGACAAAATTGTCAGATGATTGCAGCCACCCATGTTAGCACATTTATTGTTATTGTGCCCAATATGTCAATTATTTAAAAAAAAAAAAAATTAAAAAACCGAACTCACCTACAAATTGAGATTGAGGCTAAACAAAAAATTATCTTTTCTTAAAATTAAAACAGCCCACAACCACAAACATCTATAATATTACAATTTACAAAGATATTCACAACTATTATATATAAAAACAACAATAATTTTACACGTTCTATCTCCAACTAAAATTATAAAGGTTTTAAGTGAATATCGGTTCTCTCAAGAATAAGAACATCAAATATTAAGGTTTTAAGTGAACCTGCACAGTTCTTTTCTCATCTTCTAGTTCCAAAATTTTCTTTCCAAAATGCTGCTTGAGTGTCAGTGTCGGACCCTTCAAAATTTACACAGCAACAAGAAATGAGTATGTAGTGGCTTCCAAATTTTCAAATTATGATTCTTTATCTTTATCTCATGAGCTGTTGTATATCCTTCCTCCCACAGATTAATTGGTGTAATTCTGCTATGTATACATGCACTTGTTTGGGATTGAAACATAAAAGACTTTTGCCTGACACTTTAGTAACATTCTTGTATGGATGGCAAGCAATCCTCACACAAACTAGGACACAAAAATAGAATCCGAAGTCCCAACAATATAATTCTCACTCTTTCAAAAGTAAAGAACTAAGGAAAGAAAGATGCAGAGTATCTCAAAATATGCCATTTCCTACAACATATAAGAAACCCGAATTTAAAGAACTTAGGAGATTAGTAGTTGGTCTAGAGTTTAATTGATAGAACACATAAGTGTAATGGAAAAAAACTATACACCTTGAGATGGGCATCAGAATTAACTATAAGATATAATCAAACTTTACCTTAATTTGAAAGCACAAAGCTTTATATATCACCCAGGCCTGCAAAGGAAAGTAATCCCAAACCACGTAAGCACACATCAAGAAAAACCCAAACTTAGAAAGCTACAGAAAGGTCTACACATGGACATGAACATGGGAATAAGAAAAAGAGATTTGGTACAAACATCAAGCCCCAAACCATTACAGTGGATGTTTACAAATTTAAAATGCAGCCCCTGTTCAATAATTAACACTCAAAATTTAACGTTTCGCATGTTCCAGATTCAATGTAGTATCGAAAAAGTAGTGCAATATCTTTAATTTGGCAACTCAACATAAGAAAGTCAAATATAATTGAGGAAATTAAGATATGCAGAGATGTACTTACACTGAGAGAGCGGACCAATCCGATACCTGCACTTACAGAGTCAAATCTGCTCTTCTTAGAATTAAGATGTACTGCACCCAAAAAATCAACGACCTCATGCCACGTGCATATAAACATATATGCATATATATTTTAAACTTGTATGTACAAAAGGGTTCACGACACCAAACTCCAAAATGAGATACAATACCATTTGGCATCTATTGTCACGCCCCGGTCCCCAGATACTCCACGCAATTAACCTAATCACAAGTACAAACCATCACTAAAAGGCATGAGTACACATAATACTAAAAGACCAATTCCATCCTTTAAACAAATTACTTTTATACATGTGGAGTAATTTGGCAATTGTATGTTTTCTTAAAAAGAATTTGCAAACACTATTTCAAAGAGTATAAGACTAACAACCAACACCTCAATCCAAAAAAGGGTTTTGCATGATATTCAGTAGTATATGGTGAACATCATATAGCCAATTCTACTTTTAAACCAAAATAGGCATGAACTATGTAGATCTACATGTTAAATATATATCATTTTGAGCTATGAGAGATCTAATTCCCTTAAAGAGATCTAGTACCATAATTTTGAACTGCGAAAATGACGATAGCAGCAACCTCCTTCCAAGTCAATCCCAAAGCAAAGGCTCCCATCTCTGCTGCTCAAAGTTATAATAGCCAGTCCCATACTACTAGTAAGCAATTACATCAAACTAGGCCAGTATCCATTTCAACCGGTGTCAGCTGCTCCTCAGAGAAGAGAGCCACTCTTCCATATACTTCGTGCTCTCTGCACATGAAGCAAAATGCAAAGAACAAGTCAGCACTGGATGTTCATTTTAATTTCGAAAAGCATTTTGCTAGTGAGGTACATTTTTCTTTTGCACATGACTAGAACGCAATTGCATCTGAACAAGAAAGCTGGATTACAATTACCACAAAAAAATGTCCGCTCAAACCCAAATTTCTTAAAGTAATCTGAACTAAGCAATCAAACTGAAACTTTCTACATTATTTGATCTGTTCTTTTCCAAGACACAAAATGATGAACTGAACACAAAACATGAGCTTTCACAAAGAAGTCATGTACCTCGTTACTAGAATATAATTATCCATGACATTCCCAGAACAAATAACAAAGATTAGATTTTATTATTATTATTCAGAGTAGCCATAACCCTTGGCTTCCCATCATCTTCCAACAATTTAATTTTCAACACCGGTGTACGCTTGTAATATTCCTCAAATTAATTCAGAAAAGGTCACATATCTCCATCACTTACAGTCTACAAAACTAGAATTACCAACATTTTACAAAATAAGTTACTTTATCATCAGTTGATTAATAATCAATTACTTAGTTCTTTCTTTTGGTCAATAACAAACTTTGAACGTACGATAATTGACTATACATATGAAACTCAAAACCTCTGAGACAGATGGATTTACACACCCTCCATGTTTCATGTTATTGACTTGTGTGCAGCCGTGCAGGTATCAAATTTTATGCAACACCCCTCCAATATCAAAAAGAAAGGTCACCTTTCATCCAAAAACATATCCAAACTTTAGTATTCTTAAAATTAACCGAAATAGAGTTCCTTAATAACAGGAAACCCCCACACTGACCATGAGATGCAACAGCAAATGACAAATTTATTCGAGATACAACAGAAAACATCAAGATAATTTATTCGATCTAATAAGGAAGCTTGACAAAATATCCTAGCCGGGAACAACCCCGACAATTCCAAGTCATGAACTTCAAGGACAACAAACTTTCGACCATATTTTGCGGCTGATTAGAACAAATTTCTCAACCAAGATTACCCATCTCAAACAAAGAATAGCTATCACTCATGAATACCAATAAAAGTTAATAATTCTAATCAAGAAAGGAATGACGTTACCCATATGGCAGGAACGAAACGGTACGCACCAAAAAAACTGTCATAACCAACCGACAAAGTTTACCTTGCTTGCACTATGTGGACACCCAAAAGCTGTTCACTGATCTCTTGGGTCGAGGTCCAATTCCAACAGGCTTGGCCAGAAATTGGCCGGAAAACCAATGGTCACCGTTTCTTACATCTGAAATTGAGGAAATTCAGTTACGAATTTGTAGAAACTAACTTGGGGGTTGGAAAGAGGACGGAAAAAGGATTCTAGGAGTTTAATTTGGCGGCCGTTGGTGATCGGTGGACGGAGGCGCTGTTGCGTGAAAGTGAAGAGGAAGAGGAAGTATATGAGAGGGAGGAAGATGGTTGAGGAGGACAAGGAGGAGGAAGAGAGCAGAGAGTGCAGAAACAATTCGAGGGATTAGAGAGAGTGTTGAGTCCGAGGCTGTTGATATAGCAGAGGAGGAGATGAGAGAGTGCAGAGAGATCCGAGAGGTTAGAGAGTCAGTCTGAGTGTGAGAGAGAGAGCGCGGAGGCATTTGAGAGAAAAGAGAGAACGTAGGGTCATTTGATTCGTCCACCTTAAAACATTATTTTAAACAAAGGGCACAAAAAATCTACTTTTACTTTAAATATATTAAATTATAGGACACAATAACATTTATGGTGTCATTGAAAATTAATAAAAAAATTTCATTGCTGACATTAAAGGCACCAAAGTCATGGCTCTGTGCCCAATAATGTGTTCGTGTCCACTTTGCTTAACATTGCACACAATTCATGGTGCCCATTACAAAATGAGCACTCTTCCACCCTATAACAGACACAAACACCCTACTTGTGTCCCTAATTTTGTGCCCAAAGGCCATTTTTCTTTTAGTGATCTTTAATGAATTTGATCGCAGAAGCATGTCTCCATACAATCTTAATACAATTGTGTTTCTCAAAAAGAAGGGTATTGAAAACATCTTTATCCTTGTAAAACTGACATTTCTTCCCCAAATGAAATTCCAGCTGTGCGAAATAAGGTGGCTCATGAGTTAGCGGAAGGGAAAATTTATTTAAACCCATGTAATCTCTTTCTACAATCAACTTAAAATTTAAATATGAGTTGTCTTTTTAATCCTATTGCATAATGACCCATCAAATGCAAGATGAAATTAACAATAAAAATAAAAGTTATCAACAAACCCACACTCAATATCTAAGAGCTAAAAACAAGCTTTTTATTGATGGATAGTGATTTTTAAGTTTTAAATTCTCCAACTAAGGTATTAATCGATCTATGCAAAAAAAAAATTTCATTTGATTTCAAATTTTTTAAGAGTTGAAAAGATGAGTTTTTAGGTTTCAATTCAAGACCATCAATGTTGAAAGTTAAGAAGATGGGTTTTTGGGTTTGTTATGCTTTGTGTGTGGTCATTACCTTTAAGAGTCTAATTGCTTATGATTTGATAGAGTAAAAATTGAGGAAAAAGTAGTAAAAAGAGAAAAGATGACGATCGTGTAGCTCTCTGCGATCATAACAGTAACACTCACGAAAGTAAATGAGCATATTGTTGGCTGATTGTAGCTATTAGTGTTGCAAGATTTATCCTAGACTTTGTAATTTGCTACTGTTTTTTTGGATCTCTATTAATACCAACTCATGCCGTTGCTTTAAAAAAAAAGAAAAAAAAAGAAAAAGTAATGACACAACTACTGAAAATTGGTTCATTAGGAAGCCAAAAGTGGTGAGGACTGTGGTGAGGACTGTTGTTAGATTAGAATGTTTAGCTCACTTTTTGTTATCGTAATTTGTAGTGGTCTCACAAGATTCATAAACAAGTAGAAAATTCACCAAAGTATTTGACTTGTCCACACAAATTGAACTCTAGAAAGCTTTCATTAGCTTAAAACAAGTAGAAACTTCACCAAACTATTCAATTTGAAATTTTATTTTCTAAATGGGTGTAAAGATAAATTTACATTTTGAATTGAGTTTGTGAGGGTAGTTTAGGTATTAAGTTTGGATTTAAAGAGATATTAATTCTTTAATTAAAAATAATATGAGTGTGGAGAGTAAGTTGAGTGTAGAAAGAGGTTATATGGGTTCAAATAAAATTTCCCTTAGCAAAATTTGAACTTTATAATGAAGGATTTCATACATGAATAGAGGAGGAGCCAATTTCGCTTGCTCCTTTCTTGTAAGACGATTTTGGCGAATGATAATTGAAAGTAAATGGGAGTAATTTGGCGAAGTATTCCTTTTTCCCCTTCTCTAGAGGTTTTTAACGAGGCTTCCCCTTCATTCCTAAATCTCTTGTACTCTGTTATTTTTACAGAAATTACAATTAAGTTTCCGATAAAAAAACCAATGCGAAGGAAAGCATAACTCATGGCAAAGTCTCCATTATGGGCCAAAACCATTAAAATCTGGACTTTAAAGTGAGAGGTCTTAGGTTCGAATCTCGTGGATGGCGAATTTGATACAAAATTAGATTGCTCATTGTGTGGCTTAGCCGAACTTCCCCTCTCTTTAGTGTAAAAATATCAATATACTTAAAAAAAAAAACACAAGAGAATTGTTATTGGCACTCCAAAATTCTCATTTTGCACTTCAAATGAAAGAAAAATACACTTGTGAAAAATGAAAAATGAGATTTTTGGATTGCAAATAAGTTAAACCCACAAAACCCATGGATGGTTATGGAAGAAGACTTGGCGTGTGATGGTTCCTAATAAAATTAAGTTGTTTCTTTGGAGAGCGTGTCGTCATTCTCTTGCGGTGAGACATAACTTGGAACGGCGTCGTATTCGGGTCTTAAATGTTTGTGAATTATGTGGTACTGCAGACGAAACGGAGGCGCATTTGTTCTTTAATTGTGAGTTCAGCCGAGCCTTCTGGTTTGGTACTTCATTGCAGATTGATATGGGATCACTTGGCTCGCAAGAGTTTATGGTGGGATGGAAGAAGCTCTCAGACCGTGTGGGACAAGGGATGAATGAGGATTCGGTACTTCAACAGATTGCGTCTGGTCTATGACGTATCTGTAAATGTAGGAATGAAGTTGTGTTTAGGATAATCGAATTTTGCCTCACATCGCTGTCGATTTGTGGCAGCGTCAAGTTAATGCGGCTATGGTTGAAGATGATGGAGCAGGAGACCGAATGAGAATGCAGGAGGAAGCAGGGAAAATTTTTTAGATTGAGGGGGTTGTGAATGGATGGAGAAGGCCGGACTTTGGAAGCTTAAAATTGAATTGTGATGCGGCTTGGAGGAAAGAATCAAGGATAGGTGGTGTGGGATGGGTGCTACGACACTTTGCTAGGATTCCAAAGATGGCGGGTGGGAAGGGTGGGGATACTTATTTATCGCCTATTATGGCTGAAGTGGTGGCGATTCGTCAGGGGCTTGAGATGTGCGTTCAAAGTGGTATTCCGGAGTCAGGGGTGGCGCTAGAAGTGGAAATCGATTCGAAGGGGATGATTCAAATGCTCAATAAGGAGATTCAAGCCGGCGTGTCAATGGAGATTTATTTGGTTGATATTTGGGCTGTGAAGCCTTCTTTCCACTCGGTGAAGTTTATCTTCACTCCTTATCAATGTAATTGTGTAGCCCATATGGTGGCGGTGTACGTTCATAAGCATGGCGGGAGTCTGGGTTGAGATGAGTTAGGACAAAAATTTCTGTTTAATATCTTAGCAGAAGTGCAAATGTTTCCATTCGTATTTGATTTATCAATATAATTCTATCTTTTGACAAAAAAAATAAAAAAAAAAAAAAAAATTGAGCCAAAGGAAAATTACTGCATGTGAGGTTTTAACTCATGACGACTTTTTCTACTGCACATTAAAAGTGCATATATATTTTTTTTTGAACAAATGATATTTTCTACACTAAAGGAGAGAGGGTGGGCTTAGCCTCACATTGAGCTAGCAATAATGTGATTCAAATTTGCCCTTGGCGAGAGTCGAACCTAAGACTTTTCATTTACAAGTGAAGAGTAATATCATTATACAATAGTATTAAGTGACAAAAAGTGCATATTTTATGTACACGGCTGAATGAGGTGTGCACTAGAGAAAATACATTAAATTAAGTAAGCCAGTTCTATAAACCCACAAACAAAATTTAATGTTGTTTACGAAAGAGTGGTTGTTGCAAGGAAGCCCAACAATTGAGGTGGCGGTGAGGAGCGCTTGGGTTGTATAATAATAATAAAAAAAAAATAGTTTTCAGTGGGTGTGTTGGATTTGTCTAACGGTGATTGATGAGTCGATATTACACCATATATTTTATCGTATTTTTAGTTATTATTTATTGGTTATTTTGTAAGAATTTTGTTACTTTGATTTATATTTTTAATGTAGAACATTCGTCTTCCTCTAGAGCAAAACATGATGAAACGGACGAATTTTGGAGTGATTCAAATTGGAGGACATTCATGTGTCTCTCAATTTGATCGTGTCAAAGTTTCAGATTTGTCTACCAAACAGTTTATTTACGGTGAAGAAATAAAGAAGCAGCACGCAGTGCTGTCAAAGTAACGTTTTGGGCTTATTTGGGCTTTTTGGCATCCAAGATGATGTCTTTTGGGTTCGAGGCCTTCTGCAATTATGTTCGGGACATCTCAAACTTTAATTCTAGCCCTTTCGAGCCTGTTTTGGAGCCCCGGAAGTCCAAAAAACTGGCTGATTTGTGGCTGGGCAGATTTTCCAAAGCTAGAATAGGAATGTACCTAGTTTTTAGAAGACATTTTCTAGATAGGGTTTTATTTTTTATTAGTATAAATAAGGCTATTAAGCCATTAGGAATAGAAGGGAGAACGCATAAAATTTACGCACACACTACTTTGGAAGATTCAAGTTTATTTTCAAGGTGTTTTCTATCCATATTCTTAATAATATTTTGTTTTATAATTGTTCGTAACTAATTTTCGTTTGCTAGGGTGAGGCCTCGAGCCTTAGCAAGAGTATGTAGTTTCTTTTCAATTTACTTATGATATTAGGCATACAAGTTTTGAATTGTTAATCACTGGTTTAAACTATCTATTTGTCTTGATGATTGGCCACCATTAGGATATTTAGAAAAGTAATTTGATGCAATTTTGACGGAGGGTTGTCCCTAAAATTGACTAAGGCTTCTTGTGGTTAATATGTGTAACTTCTTAGGATGGACGACACGTCTTAAGAGTTATATGGTTTTTCAAAAGGATTTCACAAAACTTAATAAGTCTTGCATGTTCACATTCGATCTGGATACCACGGTTGGATTGCATGTTAGATATACGTTCTATGTTGGAGGTTCCAAGTAGGGCATACTTTAGGAAAACCTAACCTTCAAATATGCATCGGTAATTTATAAGTAATTAGAAGAACTACGTAGGATTGTTAAGGTGACGGCGGAACCCTAATGTTTCTTTAAGTTGATTTTCTTTGACTTGGTTTCTAGTTGATTTATTTAGTTGTCTTTATTTTAAATTCATT